AAAGTGCTGGGATTACAGATGTGAGCCACCATGCCTAGCCCAATTTTGCCTGTTTTTAAACATTTATATAAATGGGACCATGCAGAGTGTTCTCCCGTGGGTCTGGCTTCCTTGGCTCAACACCTGGTTTGTGGGACCCCTCCATGTCGATGTGCCTGGTTGTAGATGGATTCCTCATGTTGCCCTGTGGTGGTCCACTCATCTGGGTCTGTGGCCGACTGTGTCCCGCCGTCTCCTCCCGTCCACACAGTGCGTGCTCAGACTGGTCTGTGGATGATCAGGCAGTCTGGTGGCTGTGGGCTCGCAGACCCCCGGGAGGGACAACCAGCTTCTAAGCCCACCCCCTGGTTCTTCCTACCTGACAAGTGCACAACAGAAGAGTCTAGGGAAGGAGTGCCGAGCGGGTGGCTGACAGGCAGCCTGATGGACGAGGCCCACGAGCCAGGCGCACACCCTGAGGCAGCACGTCAGGCAGCATTGCCACGGTGGAACAGGCCACTGCTGTTGCTTCCTGAGCTGCCCTGGAGACTGGAAAAGGCAGCTCATGCCTTTGGCCAGGTGCCTGACAGCCTTTTAGGGCAGTTCAGTGTTGGCAGGGCCCAGTTCCCCTCCCAGGGAGTGAAGACAAGGGGCTCCAGGGGGGCTGTTCTGGCCTATGTCACTTCCCGACATCCCAGCGGCCCACGTGGTTGGTGCCTTTGCCTTCCTGGGTGCCGCTTGCGGAGGCAGGGAAGCAGAGCGCTGGCATTCCACTTCTGACCCTGCTGCGGGTTTGGAAAAGTCATTTCTGAATGTCTCAGTGCCTTCGGCTCCTCTGAGTGCTAATCCAGTGTCCTGGTCTTGTGGAGGCCCGTGGTGGGTGGGGGGGACAAGGCGGGGGCAGAGGCTGGCCTGGCCTGGCCTGGCCCGGCTGGTGCACGCCAGGGCTGGAGCCTGTTGCCTTATATGACAGTGACTGGGATGGCCCCATGGCTTCTGCCTCCTCCTCTGAACCTGGTTGGAGTTCCAGGGAGGCCCTGTCAAGTGGGGTCAGGCCTCTTCTGTGGGAGGGAGAGCCCACAGCCAGCGCCTCTGCTTGCGCCCTGCACAGTTTGGGTGGTGTGGGGGTGCGGCTTTTCTTTTTCTCCTCCGTGGAATAAATTCTCAGTCTGCAAAATAAAAAAGTGGTCTTGCCCCCCTCCTCCTGCTGTGTCCCAGTGGGAACTGAGAATGCGGGACTGGGTTTAAAAGGCGGGGAGGGCCATCAGGATGAAAGGCAGCGGGCAGGCAGGGACAGCGAGGGGACTTGCCACTCAGATGTGGGTTTATTTTCATCCATTTACCCTTTTGGTGCTTTTTCTGGTGCTTTTCTTCATTTCTGGATAACAGCCCCATCCTGACCCGCCCTTGCCCGCCTCTTCCCTTCTGGAACCACCCCTAGCACTGCTTTGCCGGCCCGCCTGCTCCCCTCACCCCCAGACCGGGCCAGCCCTCCTCGCCCGCTGCGAGTAAACGAGTAAACGAGCTCCCGCGCAGGCCTTGGGTTTTGGATTAATGAAGCCCAGATGCAGACTTCTGACTGGCTTTGAGTTCGCTGTGGAGCAGCTCAGAGGGGCCGTTGACCTCCCACTGTGTTCCCAGCCCAGCTGCTGCCGGGGCTCCTGAACAGCTGGAAAGCCGGCCCTGTCTGACAGGGAGGCGAAGGCCTGTGGGTGGGGGAGAAACTGAAGCTTGGGGCTCTGGGTGTGGGGCCAGGGGGTGGCCTGCACCCACGGGGGTCTGTTGCAGGGGCCGTAGAGCGGGAATGAGGGGCTTCTGTTTGTTATCCTGTGGCTCAGTCCGGGTGGGTGCTGCCTTTCCTCAGTGCTCTGGCGTGGGGGAAGTAGGGAGTGTTGAGTGAGTACACAGGGGTGCTGTGGTGTTGGGCAAGTACACAGGGGTGCTGCGGGGTTGGGCGAGTACACGGGGGCGCTGCGGGTTAGGCGAGTGCACAGTAGCAGGAGAATCACTTGAACCTAGGAGGAGGAGGTTGCAGTGAACCAAGATCACACCATTGCATGTCTGGGCAACAAGAGTGAAACTCCATCTCAAAAAAAGATATATATATGTACATAGATAATACTATATATTACATCATATATTATATATATCCTATATATAAAATATATATATATATATATATATAGTGTATGTATATTTTGTATTTTTAGTAGAGACGAGGTTTCTCCATGTTGGTCAGGCTGGTCTTGAACTCCCAACCTCAGCTGATCACCCACCTCGGCCTCCCAGAGTGCTGGGATTACAGAGGTGAGCCACCGTACCCGGCTTAACCGGGCATTTTATATTTTAATTTGCTAAATCTAGCAATCCTATCTCCCTTCCAGCTGAATCTTTTTTTTCTTTTTCTTTTTTTTTGAGATAGAGTCTCACTCTGCCGCCCAGGCTGGAGTGCAGCGATGTGATCTTGGCTCACTGCAACCTCCGCCTCCCAGGTTCAAGCAGTTCTCCTGCCTCAGCCTCCCGAGTAGCTGGGACTACAGGCGCCCGCCACCATGCCCAGCTAATTTTTGTATTTTTAGTAGAGATGGGGTTTCACCATGTTGGCCAAGCTGGTCTTGAACTCCTGACCTCAAATGATCCACCCGCTTTGGCCTCCCAAAGTGTTGGGATAACAGGCATGAGCCACTGTGCCTGGCCTGAATTTTTTTCTTAATTGTTTTATTGAACTACAATATACAATCAGAATAGAGCAAAGACAGTTAAGTGTATGGCTCAGTGCATTTTCACAAGTCCGATGTACATGAAACCAGCACCCAGGTCAAGAAATGAAACATGATCGGAACCTGCCCCCCACCCCCAACCCAGGGTTACCAGGATCCAGCTTCCAACAGCTGAAGTTTGCCATTTGCATTTGTTTTTTTTAAGAGTTGGGGTCACCTGTAATCCCAGCACTTTGGGAGGCTGAGGTGAGTAGATCATGAGGTCAGGAGTTCAAGACCAGCCTGGCCAAGATGGTGAAACCTGTCTCTACTAAAAATACAAAAATTAGCCAGGCGTGATGGCAGGTGCCTGTCATCCCAGCTACTTGGGAGGCTGAGGCAGGAGAATCATTTAAACCCAGGCATAAAACAGTTGGGGTCTTGCTCTGTTGCCCAAGGTAGCCACGAACTCCAAGGCTCAAGCAATCCTCCCACCTCAGCATCCTGAGTAGCAGGGACTGCAGGTGTGGAGTACGATAACTGGCATGCCCATGTTTGTACCTTATATAGATGAGACCATGTTGGCGGGGCACTGTGGCTCATGCCTGTAATTCCAGCACTTTGGGAGGCCAGGGCGACTGGATCACCTGAGGTCAGGAGTTCGAGACCAGCCTGGCTGACATGGCAAAACCCCGTCTCTACTAAAAATACAAAAAAAAAAAAAAAAAGCCAGGCATGGTGGTACGTGCGTGACTGTAGTCCCAGCTACTTGGGAGACTGAGGCAGGAGAATCGCTTGAACCTGGGAGGCAGAGGTTGCAGTGAGCCAAGATCATGCCATTGCACTCCAGCCTGGCAACAGAGCGAGACTCTGTCTCAAAAAACAACAACAAAAAAATGAGACCATGCAGATACATTTTCTGTGTCTGGCTGCTTTCCTCCCACACTGGAGGTCATTCATGTTGTTGGAGGTGGTTGTGGTTCATTCATAATCACAACCCCGCCATAGGACTGAGCCGTATGGATGCAGTCTGATCTGTCTGTCCACTGTGCTGCTGCTGCTGCTGCTACTGCTCAAGCCTTCTAGTGCCTCTCCTTTTTTGCACCTTTGTACCTAGGAGTAGGATTGCTGGGCATGGGGTGGGCATCACGTCTTCAGTAGATCTTGCCAGTTTTCGGCAGTGGCGCACCCATCAGTATCCTGCCAGCCGTGTGAGCGCCCATAACGCTGCGCCCCCACCAGCCCCTGGCGTGGCCCCAGTTCGTGTCGGCTCTTCCGGGGTGCGGTGCTGCCGCTGCTGCTGCTTCTGCGTTTTGAAAAATCCAAGAGTCTGCTGCTTTGCTGAGTCCTCTGGCTTTCTTGACTCTTTCCTAAGAAAGTTTAAAAGCGCCCCGGGGTTTTAGACCCTAGATTAGTGCCTCTGTGATCCCAGCCACACCGGAGCTTTGAGGAAACCATTCCTGCCTCAGTTCCCCTTCACCCAGGGAGCCTTTCTGCATGCACGGCTGGGTTGAGAGGTCCAGGGGCCAGGGGTTCCAGGCACAGCTCTGGGCGTTCTCAGGGTTCTGTCTCAGCCTCTTTGCCTCCCTGTGGCTTCCTCTTACTGGTTCTCCCTCCAGGAGGCAGGATGGCCACCAGCGGCTGTCGTGGCCACCCTGCTGGAAAGGCCCACACGCCCGCACTTTGCTGATAGTTCAGTCACAGCCCAAGGCCACCTCTCAGTGACTGGGTGAGGTGAGTAGATCATGAGGTCAGGAGTTCAAGACCAGCCTGGCCAAGATGGTGAGGTGGGTCAGGTGCCTGTCCTGGGAGCCTGGCAGGAGATGGATTTCCCCAAGGAAAGCCCAGTGGATACTGGGTGAAGAGAAAACCGGGAAGTTTGGCCTCCGCAGGCCAGGTCAGTCACCCAGCCTCCCCCACCCTGCGGGGTTGGCACCACAAAGGAAAGAAGAGGCAGAGGCGTATTGAAAAGCAGTTCGGCGCCCCTGCCTCTATGGATCCATGGATATGTATCGGCAGAGGGGATGATGAACTAAGAAAAGCCCTGCCTGCTCTGTGGGCCTCTGAAATGACCAGGAACTGGAGTTTTTGTGTGGACTTCTTATTTAATTTTCTGATCCTGAGAGTTTCATTCCTCCTGGAATACATAATAATGCTATCAGCCAATGGAGAAAGCCCTTTGGGGTATCCTAGATGGACGGTGGGGACCCCAGATGGAGGGTGGCTCCCGCAAATTCTCCTCTCCATGGGTGTCCTGTCCCCTGCTCGGGCTCCCCGATTTCCAGCACACCCCCTCTCAAGCTGTCGCTTCTTCTCCCCCAGGCGGCTTCGAAGCCAACTCAGCCTTGTGGTCATTGCTCGAATGCTGGGCCAGCAGGAGACACTCCCTCTCTGGCAAGAGAAGACCCAGGTGAGTGTTTGCTTCAGGCCTGGGCAGGAAGGCCACGGCCTGCGGGCTCTGGAGCCTTTCCCCAAAGGCCGGGAACATCAGGGCCGAGATCTAAGCTGGATCTGAACTCTCTACTCATGTTCTTTCATCAAGAATTACCACTTGCGTGCCAGCCATGTGCTAGGCGGTGAGGACAGAGCAGTGAGCTGAGAGCCTGTCTTTTCTTAAAATGGTAGTGAAGGCTGGGTGCGGTGGCTCACGCCTATAATCCCAGCACTTTGAGGGGCTGAGGCGGGCAGGATCGCCTGAGATCAGGAGTTCGAGACCAGCCTGGCCAATATGGTGAAACGCTTGTCTCCACTAAGAATACAAAAACTAGCTGAGCGTGGTGGCGGGTACCTGTAATCTCAGCTACTCGGGAGGCTGAGGCAGCGAATTCCTTTTGCAGTGAGCATTTAATTCAAATAAATGAATTAAATTCACTTATTTAATTTTTTTGTAATCATCTTAACCATTCTTAAGCGTAGTATTTCAGCCATTTCTAAGTGTACAATTCAGGGGCCTTAAGTGCATTCATACGGTTGTGCAGCCGTCACCACCATCCATCTCCAGAACTCTTTCATCTTCCCAGACTGAAACCCTACACTCGTTAAACACAACCCCCCAACAATGTCCCCAGCCCGTTTTTTTGTTGTTATTTTTTATAGTAAAGCATAAAAACAAATAGTATTTGTAAAGATGAAAACAAATACTATTAAATTAAAACTACTCCCTCTGATGTCCCCTCCTAGTCCTCAGTGTTAGGCATTGTTAGGGCAGCAAGGGCATTGAGTTCGGCCTTCTGAGCTGGGCGTGGTGGCTCACGCCTATAATCCCAGCACTTTGGGAGGCCAAGGCCGGTGGATCACTTGAGGTCAGGAGTTCAAGACCAGCCTGGCCAACATGGTGAAACCCTGTCTCTACTAAAAATACAAAAACTTAGCCGGGCATGGTGGTGGGCACCTGTAATCCCAGCTACTTGGGAGGCTGAGGCAGGAGAACTGCTTGAACCCGGGAGGCGGAGGTTGCGGTGAGCCAAGATCACACCACTGCAGTCCAGCCTGGGCAACAGGGCGAGACTCTGTCTCAAAAAAAAAAAAAAAAAGAGTTTGGCCTTCCTGTCCTGTTCCTCTTCTCTCCAAAAAGCCCTGGCTGCAACCTCCTGACAGCTCAGAGGACATCACGAGGTGATGAAAGGGTCACTGGCAGGCCAAGCATGGATGGAAGGGAGGTTGAGCGTGCCCGCACCTCCCCAGTAATCTTCCTGGAATCCTAGAAGAACAGCTGCTAGGTACAGCTGACCCTTCCAGCTCAGCCACGCTAGGGGTACTCTGGCTAGAGTCTGTGCATCTCTAGCCACTCAGGCAGCATAACGCCTTGCCCAGAGGGCTGAGACAATGTTCCGGCACGTCCCAGGTGCTGTGACTGCAAGGAGGGAGTTCAGAGAAGTGACCGGCGGGGTTGGGTTGTCTGAGCGGCTTCGGCCTGGCTTTTGCCCCGGCTTTTGCCTCAGATGCCCCCTTTGCCTTGAGTGCTTCCCCCAGGCCTTAGTCGGGCTGGAGGTTCTTGTCGTTCTCACTCCAGCTGAAATGTCCTCTCCGCAAGGGGCCTTGCTGGCCACCCGATCCAGAGTGCCCCAGCACTGGCTTTCATCTTGTCCTAAGTCACTCCTGGGGGCCACCCCCTGGTTTTTCCTGTTTGCTCAGCATCTGTGTTTTCCACCCCCTACCCCCAAGCAGAACGTAAGCTCCTGAAGAACAGGGAACACGTAGTTTCTGCCCCCTGCTGCCCCTCGGCACCTGGCAGTGCCTGGCACACCCCGGGAAGGCAGTGCACGCTTGTGGAAGGGACGGGCACCCAGGTGGGTTGTCGGGGTGCATGGGGAGAATGTACCCCAGGCCGAGACCTCGAGAGGGGCAGTGAGGAGGTGACCGGCACTGAGGTCACTTCACAGGTGGTCTCTGTGAGGAAGGAAGAACAGAGGGACGCAGCGGTGTGGCTGGGAACAACCAGCAGTTAGAGGCAGAGGGAGCCCAAGATGGGGTGCTTGGGAGGACTCTGGGACGCAGACTGAGGGACAGGCCCAGCGCAGAGTGGAGGCCAGCGGGGGCGCAACACAGGTGGCCGGAGAGAGAGAATGAGAGCCAGTTCAAGGCTTGGCATTTTGCTTCGTTTTGTTTTTTGTTGGCCAGCAGCTGTGCACAGAGTGAGGAAAGCTTGGTGGGGCTGCCTTCCTGGTGGAGGTCAGAGTGGCAGCGGGGAAGTGTCATGGAGGAAGGGCTGACGGTCCTTGGGCCCAGGAGTTGGAGGCTACAGTGAGCTATAATCACACCACTGCACTGCAGCCTGGGCAACAGAGCCAGACACCTTTGCTAAAAAAAAAAAAAAAAAAAAGTGGGGAATGGGGGCGCAGGAGGCAGTGACTCACGCCTGTAATCTCAGCACTTTGAGAGGCTGAGGTGGGAAGATCACTTGAGCCCAGGAGTTCTTTACAAAAAAGGAAAATAATTAGCTGGACATGGTGGCACGTGCCTCTAGTTCCAGCTACTTGGGGCAGGGATGCTGAGGTGGGAAGATGGCTTGAGCTCTGGAGGTCAAGGCTGCAGTGAGCCATGATGGCTCCAGTGCACTCCAGCCTGAGCGACAAAGCAAGACCCTGTTTTGTTTTGTTTTTTAAAAGAAAAAAGATACACGGAGTGGCGCTGCCTCCCCTTGAGAGATCCTGGCCCGGCAGGTCTCGCAGGCTCCCCAGGGGCCGGGGTCTTGCAGCCTGTCAGGGACAAGCCAGGTCCAGGCCAGTTGCTGTGTGCCCACCATGCACCCGTGTGTTCGTTAGACACTAGCTGAGCAACCTGAGTGCCAGGCTCTGTGCCAGGTACTGGCACTGGGGAGACAGCACCAGATGACCTCAGAAGAGAGGGGTGAGCAAGTCGGCCACGGCCGCAGTGACTAACTCTGCCCAGGCACAGTGCGGCGGCTGCTAGAGAAGATGCCCTGAGCCAGGTCTTGGAGGCTGAGTCAGTGCTTGTACTGCAAAAAGGAGAAAGGGGGTGAGATTCATGGCGACCGGAGGGATAGGAAGGACCGGCAGGGGCCTGCCCATGGCCTTCCTGGAGCTCCCTCCCCGTCTCCACTGCAAGCCCAGGGCTGCTCACAGCCTCCTCCCAGGTCTTCAGGCTGCTAGACACTCCCCTTTCCAGTCTGGCCTGTCAGACCTTCCTGAAACACTCCTTCAAAGGGCCACCTTGTCCCCACAGCCGCCCACTCAGCCCACATGCCCCTTTCCCAGCGTCTCCTCCACGGGGCTTACTAGTGCCGTGTGTTCTCCTTGGGCCTCCTCACAGGCCCTGCCTGCTCTCTGCACACAGCTCTGGCTGTGTCTGGGCCGCCTCTTCCTTTCCACCTGTCACCCCCAACCGGCAATAGTGGCAGCTCCTGTGTGCACAGCTGTGTCCTGGCTGCTGTCCTCAGCACTCGCCCCTCCTAGCAGCCCAAGGCCCTCAGACTTACTGTCATCCACATTTTACAGATAGCGAAACTTTCCAGGGTCACCCAACAGGGAAGTGGCACAGCTGGGACTATTTTATTTTTGAGGCAGTGTCTCACTTTCCCAGGCTGGAGTGCAGTGGTGTGATCACGACTCACTGCAGCCTCAACCTCCCTGGCTCAGTGGTCCTCCCACCTCAGCCTCCCGAGTAGCTGGGACTATGGGTGTGCACCACCACACCTAGTGAATTTTTGTATTTTTTATAGAGGCATGGTTTCGCCATGTTATCCAGGGTGGTCACAAACTCCTGGGCTCAAGCGATCCTCCTGTCTCAGCCTCCCAAAGTGCTGAGATTACAGGCATGAGCCACCGTACCCGGCCTAGAGCTGGGATTAAAGTCCTGCCCTTGACCACTGCAGGGCACCGCCTTAGCCTGTCCAGCTCTCTCCTTGCCTCTGGACATCCTGGACCACACCCGGTACTTCATGGTGAAGTGCCCTGCTGGGTCCTTGGGCTTTAGTCCCAGTTCACAGACAGGAGGACAAGGACTGTCCCTCCTTTCCCTCATCAGTGCACAAGTGCTGGAGAAATTCTATCCATCGATTCACTGTGAAAGGGGGCACAGGGGTTGAGAATTGACTGGTGTAGGAGCAGAGGACCCGGGGCTGGATCTGGGCACAGCAGTTTGCAGGGCACTGCTGGGCAGGAGTCACCGATGGCCAAGTTGCTGGGCTCTGTATCTCCCGCAAGCTGCAACGGGGGTCCCATGGAGCAGGAGCAGAAGCACACGTTGGAGATCTGAACTTGAAGGACAGGACTTACAGCATTGAGGTCACACAGGCAAGTGGAGGTTCAGTTAGCCAGAGCCTCAAGGCTACAGTGAGGGTTTTGACTTTTACGCAGAAGTGGGGAGCCCCTGCAAGGTTTTGGGCAGAGAAGAAACAAAATCTGATTTATAAAATCTTTAAAAATTACTCTGGCTGCTGTGTTGAGAAGGGACTACTGGGAGTGGAGAGGAAGAAGGTGATTGCAGTAATCCTGGCAAGAGATGGCAGTGGTTTGGCCTGGGGAAATAGCAGTGTGGGCGGTGAGAAGTGGTCGGACTCTAGGTGCATTTCCCAAGTACAGACAGTGGGATGTGCAATGCAAGAGAACAGAGACAAGGACTCCAGGTCTGTGCAGCAGGCGGGATGGAGACGCCCTTTGCCTACCCTAGGCAAGACGCAGGTGGAGCAGGTTTGGGGAGGAAATCAGGAGTTCGCTTCTTATCCTGGGGCACTTCTTGCAACACAGTAAACCTCTTGTCAAAGTATGTCTTCCAGTTTGGGGTTTGGAAAACGTGGGCTTCAAGTGACTCAAATCAAGGGGGATAAATGTTTGCATCTACTCAGAAAACGTTAGCTGCAGTCTCGACTGTTCATCTATTCATTCGTTCGTTCCTTTGACAAATACTTACTGGACGTGTACCATGTGCCAGGCGTGGTTCTAGGTTCTGGGGACTTTGCAGTGAAAAAACTGCCCTCAGAAAGCTTACATTCCAGGGAGGGAGGGGGAATAGGTGATGAAAAGCAAGTAAATTGCAAAGGGGCCAGGCACTGTGACTCACTCCTGTAATCCCAGCGCTTTGGGAGCCCAAAGTGGGTGGATCACTTGAGGTCAGGAGTTTGAGACCAGCCTGGCCAACATGGTAAAACCCTGTCTCTACTAAAACTACAAAAATTAGCCGGGCGTGGTGGTGGCCACCTGTAATCCCAGCTACTGGAGAGGCTGAGGCAGGAGAATTGCTTGAGCCCGGGAGGTGGAGGTTGCAGAGAGCAGAGATTGCGCCATTGCACTCCAGCCTGGGCGACAGAGCAAGACTCTGTCTAGGTAGGTAGGTAGGTAGATAGGTAGGTAGGTAGGTAGGTAGATAGATGATTGATAGATAGATAGATGGATAGATAGGTAGATAGATAGATAGATGATAGATAGATGATGGATGGATGGATGGATGAATGGATGCATGGATAGATAGATGATAGATGATGGATGGATGGATAGATAGATAGGTAGATAGATAAATAGACAGACAGATAGATGATGGATGGATGGATGGATGGATAGATGATAGATGATGGATGGATGGATGGA